ATCTCCCGAACAAAAACACACGTGAACAGGACGGAGAAACGAGCGATCTCTTATGTAAACAGATGCATATGAAAAATAATGTGATCATCAGCAATAGACAGCATATAAATGAAAACTGCATAATGTTACAGAGTTAAATGTTGATCCAGGAAGTGGTATATGTATGTGCAAGCTTTGGAGGTGCTGATTTACTGGATTTATGCTTTGATAATCGTACTGAATATTATCCAGATGTAGTTTTTGATACAAATGTGATTTTCTCAACTTTTTGCTCAAAATTATGCATTTTTATGAAACCTTACCTATATTCAAGTGTTGCTTTAAGCTAGAATAAAACAGATTTTTTTTTTGTTTGAAAGTAGAGGCTCCGATCGTTATTCTGGTGTATTGCATATTCAAATATTCATACAACAACATATACTGGAGGCCATCAAATTTTAGTGAAAGTCATCAAAATCGCTGGCGGTGGCTGGCAACTTTTTTTTATGTGTCCTTCCCCATAAAGTTCCATTGTCTGTTCCTTTCAGGTGTGCTTGTGTCAGTCTGACCGGCAGCAAGGTGATCATGCAAATGAAGGGAATTGTCAGGGATTAGATGGCAGACAGTGTAAATGATTCACTGAAGATGATTCACTTTATCCTGTGATCCGCAGCCCATTTTACACCTGCCTCACCTTATCTATGTCTCACTTTGACCTTGCCACAATGTTTTAGAGATGAGGACTGAGATCATGTTTGAAAGAATAAGAAAGAAATGTCGTTTTTTTTTTTTTTTTTTGAAGCTCAAATCAGATTTGACTTTCTGTGGTGCACAAATACATAAAGCATTTAAATTATAGAAAATAGCTTTTAAAATGGGACCCTGGACCAAAAAAAAAAAAAAGTCTTAAGTCGCTAGGGTATATTTGTAGCAATAGCCAAAAATACACTTAAGGCTGGTTTTGTGGTCCAGGGTCACAAATATCCCAAAATAAACGAATGAATAAAAAGCTATGCTAAATCATCAGCTAAATTAATAGGAAATTGTCATTATGTTCTCACCCTCATGAAAACCATATATTTTTTGTTTCATCAGTCGAACACAAGAATTAGGGATGAGAGGATAACTGTCAAGTCACATAAAAGTATCATAGCAGTAATCCATATAAAACTTGGGCATAGTTTTTAAAATCTTCTGAAGTCATACGATAGCTTTGTGTGAGGAAAAAGACTGAAGTTTAAGTCTGTAGTTCAATAAAAATCCCCATTCCACCCAAATCTGGTGCTTTAATGATACGTGAGAACCTCTTGGGCCTCAACACCACATGAGAAGGAAATGAAAGAGAAGAAATTGCACACAAACCTCATTGGTTCTTATGTGTACAGTATGTAGCAGATCTGAATGTGATGATGTAAATGAAATGTAAGGAACTGAACCTGTTATAATACCTCCACACGCTTTGAGAAACACTGGATATATATACAGTGGGTACGGAAAGTATTCAGACCCCCTTAAACTGGGATTTGGAGTTTCAGCAGTGTTGCCAACTTCTTTCAATGGAAAAAAATGGGCCAGCTTGAAAAG